CACATCTATATGAACCAACTCGAACTTTTCTAACTTCAATTTCCTGTCATCCTTTCAAAAATTGACCCTCTTTCGTTTGCCGAATATGCAATCCTCACAAAAGTCAATGTCCACCGACTTCAAATCTGACAGTTTCTCCTTAGATGCACGTACCTTCATCCCTTTTTGAATCATATGCCCAAGCCTTTGGTGTCACAGATTTGAATCTTTCTTCTCACCAGCAACTACTAATGCATCCCTATTGTTCGTAGACATGTAAAGGGTGCCTTCTTTTTTACCACGAGCGACAACCATGGCTCCTTTGGTGATTTTCCACAAATCACCCATGAAAGTTATAACATGACCTTCATAATCAAGTTGTCCAACAAAAATCAAATTTCTTTTCAAACCAGGCACATGTCTGACCTTCTGTATCTTCCAAACAGATTCGTTTGGCAACTTGATTGTTACATCCTTTTTACCCACAATCTTCAAAGGTTTATCATCAACCAAATAAACTTTCCCAAAATCGACACCAATTTAATTATTCATGATTTCCCTCTGTGGAGTAGAATGGAATGATGCCCCAAAATCTAAAATCCAAGATTCAAGAGGGCTGTCAATACTCAAGATCAAAGCATCATAAATCTCCTCTGTTGCAGCATTAGCAGACTTCTGATTTTGATCACCTTTGTTCTTATTCAATGTCGAGTAATCTCTTTTTAGATGTCCCTTCTTTCCACAGTTCCAGCAACTTCGTCCATCTCCAGTTCTTGACTTGCTTCTGTGTTTAGATTTTGATTTGTTACGGTTCAGGTTTTTTTCCTACTAATCTTTCTCTAGCTTCTGTATTCAAGGCAGAACCTGATATTTCCCTTAATTCCCTCCTGCGAATTTCTTCACTCAAAATTAAATCTCGAATATCATTGTAATTCAACTTTTCTTTTCCTGAAGAATTACTCACTGCCATTATAGTACCATTCCAACTTTCTAGTAAACTAAATAGAAAAATCAAAGCCCTAACCTCATCATCAAATTCGATAGATACAGAACTCAATTGTGTTACAACAATATTGAATTCGTTCAGATGCTTAGCCACCGAAGCACCTTCTGTCATTCTCATATTAAACAATCTACACATCAAATAAACTTTTTTTGAGGCAGAGGGTTTTTTATACATGTTTGAGAGTGTAGCCATGAGACCCGCTGTAGTTTTCTCCTTCGCTATGTTAAACGTAACGTTACGAGACAACATTAGCTAAAAAACACCTAGTGCTTGGCGATCACAAAGAGTCCACTCATCATCCGTCATTTTTTCTCCTTTCGTCCCTAAAAGGGGCTCATACAGTTTTTTTTATACAGATAGTCTTCAATTTGTATCTTCTAAAATCCAAAATCTGTGCCATTGAATTTATCGATTCTAACATTTTCGTCTGTAGCCATTGCTTCCACTCAAATCAATGCCCTGATTCCAGTGGTTAGGAAATTGACCCTTCCTAAGCAAGATCGGTGAGACACGAAATAACAAACAAGAAATAAATTAACGAATCAAACAAATCACACACATAAGAACACAAGGATTTACATGGTTCACCCCAAAATAGGATTACGTCTATGGCTGCTGCGATTTTCACTATGATCAGAAAAATACAACTCTCTCTCAACCTAAAAGAGGCGCCCCTCATCTATTTATAAGTATAGAATTAAAGTTATATGGAAGCACATGGGAATTACGAAAGTAGTCAAACCCCTCATTGGACCCAGCGTTTTTGAGTGAACAGTACTTATCAGGATCCACCGACCCAACATAAAATAAATCTAATTCACAAGATGTTCTAGATAATTTTTTTTTAAGATTTAAATTCTAGATAATTTTTAAATAGTTAAATATGAATTTATAGTAGGGAAAAGACTTCTCTCCAGTTGGACGGTACTGTTGGGCTCATGAAATTCATCACGGTTCATATTTTGTTAATCTGAACTGTTAATGTGTTTAGTTTGTCAAGTACTTTATCCTTGCACAAATTGATGTTGATTGGATATCAATAATCTCTTGATCAGATCATATTTTTGTCAATGATAAATATGATTTTAAAAATAAATTATTAATAAAATATATTTGATCAAGGGATTATCGATCTCCAATCAATGTAATTTTTTATAAGAATAAAATACACGACAAATTTTATATAATGAATAATTTAAATTATCAAAATGAAACTGTGATAGATCCCACAAGCTAAACAACATTGTCTAGACTACAGAGAAAATTATTATTGATTTAAAAAAGTTTCAAAGCTGTAAAATAAGAGTTCTAAATGAACTTTAAAATAAGAGTTCTAAATCAGCCCTGAACAAGTGAGTCCCACCTATAATGTGATGTATGTATATGTATTTTATTTTTAATTTTTATTTTCCTACATCCAAAGCTCATATTAAAACTCTCTCGCTAAAATTCTGTATCATTGTTGTTACTGATTTGCGATACAACGTATGGGAAGATTAATAAAAGGGAGAGTTAAGGTGGGATCACCTTACATCAAAAAAAACAAAGGGTGGGATCGCCTGGCCCGCCGACAACTAGATCTTGACCGTACGTCTGGTAGGTACACCACTAGGGAAATACCCCAAATCTTATTGATCTCGGATGGAAAGTTGATTATTTTAATTTTTTGTTATTTTAGTAGGCCAAGATTTTTATATTTTAGAAGATTTTTATATTTTAAAAGATGGTTAAATTTTTTTTGTAGCTGAATGTAATGTTTATGAGAGAAAAAGTGAAATGATTATGAATTTGATGTGACATTTTATTTTATTGATTATTTTAACTTATTTTGTCTTTTTGTAGATTTTAATCAAAAAAAAAAACCAAAAAACCTCTTGCCAAATAGGGCCATATTTTGTTTGGGATGTGACTTGTCTTTTTGGCTTTTTGATTTCTTAATTATTTTAATCTGGGGTTAAACAATCTCGTTTGTGATAGACTTTTTTATTTTTTTAATTTTTGTGAGAAAAAAATAAAATAATTATGATTTAAATGTAATATTTTGTCTTATTAGACTAAAAAACTTATTTTATTTTTTTATGACTATTTAAACCCCAACTCTATATGTCAAACAAAACCTAAGACTAACCACGGGATCTTAATAACATCATCGTGAAGAGGGCTCGTACCCTTTCTTAAATTTATTTTTAACTAAGGTGTATTTAGAATGTTTTAAATAAATATATTTTTTAACATTGGGTGAATTAACTTTTTAATTGTGACACATTTGACCCTGAATTTTGTATCTTGTTCCAAATAAGTACAATTGAAGATACTATTGAATTTTTCAAGGACAAAATCTTCAATTTGATAAAATGTAAATTAATTTGATAAAAATAAATATCAAAAATTATTTTTGAATTTTTAAAAATTATTTTTACCTACTAAAGATAAAATTATATAAAATTGATAAATCTTTTAGACAATTTATTTTTTTTTACCAAATTAATTTTTATTATGTATTTGGATGATGATCATGTAAAATTTATTTTTAAAAATTAATCATGTAATTTTTATTAATTTTTATCAATTTTGCATAATTTTATTTTTGGTGCGTGGAAATAATTTTTAAAAATTTTAAAATATTGTTTTGACATTTATTTTTATCAAATTAGTTTATATTTTATCAAATTAACAATTTTGCCCTTGAAATTAAAAATTGGTATGTTCAATTGTTCTTATTTGGAACAAGATTCAAAATTCAGGATCAAATGTGTCACAATTGAAAAGTCAGAGACTAAAGTGACACAAGTCCCAAACTATAGGAACTGTTAGTGTAATTTGCCCCTTAACATTTTACAGAAAAAAAATATGAAATATGAATTCAATTCAAGAGTAAAACTACTAATAGGTCCTAATAGTTAGATTTAATTATCATCAAATCCTATTGAAAATAAATCTTGGTAAAATTGTCGCTAACAATAATTTTTTGTAACAATTTTTTACATATGTCGTTAAAAATTGACAATTAGTGACTTTTTTTGTTATAATTTTTGTAAATTATCGTTAAAACTTACAATTAGTGATTTTTTTTATGACAAATTTTTCTCATAAGGCCTATTAGATAATAAGTCTACTTATTAAGATCTATAGGTAAATATCCCTTGTGGGGATATATTTTCTGAATACCAAGCCTATGTGAAGAAGTGAAATCTTGGTAAAATTGTCGCTAATAATAATTTTTTGTAACAATTTTTTACATATGTCGTTAAAAATTGACAATTAGTGACTTTTTTTGTTATAATTTTTGTAAATTATCGTTAAAACTTACAATTAGTGATTTTTTTTATGACAAATTTTTCTCATAAGACCTATTAGATAATAAGTCTACTTATTAAGATCTATAGGTAAATATCCCTTAATTCTAAAGTGATGTGATATAAAAAATAATATGATTTAAATAAAATAATTACAATCCAAATAAAATAATAGGGGTTTTTTTTTTAAGATCCCTGATATTATGATTTTATAGCATAAAGGACATCAAATATTTTTATAATGTCTAAGGTCCCTCAACAATATTTTCATAATGTCTAAGGTCCCTCAACCTTGATCCAGTCCAGAGAAATTTCAGTCGAGAGAAAATTGGTCCAGAGAAATTTCAGTGCAGAGAAAATTGGTCAGAGAAATTCTGGCCCAGAGAAATTTCTCTGGACCAAATTTCTCTGGATGAGTTTCTCCACTTTTCTTCTCATTCACATCCAAATCATTGTGATTCATTAGGTAAGCAACATTGTTCAACTGAATTCAACTGGAAAAATTCCACATTGTAATATGTAAGCAACATTAGAATGGAATAACAATGGCAATTTACCAGAACCAGAGAAATTCTGGAAAAATCTGGGTTTATTTTGCATATCACATTATCTATGAGGTGCATTCGTGCATTGTGCATTCTTAATTAGTTTGATATTGTAGAAAGACTGAAAAAAAATATTCATTATGCTTGATCAACCATCCGTCCTCATTGAATTTATTGAAAATAGATCATAAAAAATTAAAGGGCATGGAAATGATAAACTTAGAACAAAACAAAAAAAAAAATTTCCATGACAGCAGGATTATGAAAAGCCTTACTGTCAATTCTCAAACATTCTAATATCAAGCTTGTTGCAAACTTTGATCATCCTTGAAGTGAATTTTCATGACAATAAAAAGCAAATAAGGTTTCCATCAATCTAAGTGAAGATTAAAATTTGCATCAATCAGGTGCTCCAATACTCTGCCTCATGTTTTGACTTACTAAAAGTGTATACAAGTGAAGTTGAGTTCAGCAAATCAATGAATAAGTAAACCTTTTCGTTCAATCAAATCAACTAACCTGAAGCTTGTATGACTTTCTCTCAGACCAAAAAGACTTGATTGATTCCAAAACAGTCTGCAAGCAATTGTGTCAAGTAACCCCTCCCAGCTCCAAACAACTACATTAGGGACAGTAGTGTTATCACCACCAGATGACCCATCACATAAGTAATGATCCCTTAATATGTCCCCACCGGAATTCCTTAACACCCTAGATCCTCCATCATTGTTGCTACTGTTGTTACCATCTCCACTGCCACTCGACTCCGGAGACCCAAATGCCCCAACTGTGTCACAAGTCTTTAAGTAGGAATGCTTCCCTATATTAAAACTATGAAGCTTTTTATCAGATTCCAAATCAAATTTCCAGAGAAAATTCTATAGCGACCCCGGTCTTTTCCCATTTAATTATTGTATCCGGACTGTTCCGTAGATTCTGTCATTGTATAATGGTTGTTGTTGTTATTCCTTATTTTCTCATTTGGAATTATAGGATGTGTTGGGCAGGTTTGTTTCAGGTTGGTTGGGTTTAGAAACCAAGAGTTGCTGTCCAGGTTTTTGGTTCTTCGCTCGAGCGAGGAGTTGTTCGCTCGAGCGAGAGGTAGTGTTTGATTTGGACCTGTAGCTGTGCTTTTCAAAAGATTGCATTGAAAACGAATGGGCATGCTGGACGGCCTCAAGGAAAACAGAAGTGTTAGAAAAAAGCATGCAAAAATTTCTAAGTATAGGATTACGCAGAAGCAATCAACGGAACATCACAAGATTAAAAAACATCTATAGAAAGAGCAGTTGCAGTTACATAGAGAAAAAGCTACGTCGGCCATAAGAAGGAGTTTTTCATTGTCCATAAATTAAAAGAGAGTACAAATTGCAAAGTGCAGAAAAAGAAGAAAAAAGTACAAAAGACATTTTTTTTTCAAGACTCTTCAGTGTTAGCCGCTGCAGGGACTGGAACCTCGGACGATTCTGGTGGAACCTCCTCGGCAACCTTTTCTGCTTCAATCTCAGCATCAATCTCAGCCAGCGTATTGTTTAGATTTCTTTCAGCCAAAAGAAGGTCGGATGATAGTTTCCCGATGGCAATTTCCTTGGGTGCCCCCCCAACCTCGTCACCCTCCTCATCCAAGGTTAAATCCATCACTTGCTTAGCAGGAGGAGGGGACTTAGCTTCAGCAGCATCCTTGGGTTTTCTCACCAAGGCCTCATCATCATTTTTTCCTTCATCCTCATCTTCGGCATCAGCCTCAGTCTCTGATTCAACCTAACTTAGAGGAGGAAATGGTAAAGGAATGGCATCGGCCTTACGAAAGGGCGAGTCAACAGGGAGATCAAGTTTTTTTATCAGGGACATCCAACCAAGGGAAAATCCCCGGTTGCATGCCTGTCTGACATGAAGTTTATAATCCTCTGCGACGTCGGCCATACCCTAGGCATAGGCCTTTTCATCAGCCTCTTTGACTTCGGCCTCCTTGGTGGCCAAAGCCTGCTGGAGCTCCTTCTCAGCCTGGGCCTTTCTTACTTCGGCGTCTTTCTTCTCAGCTTCAGCTACTTTGCGGATAGCTTCAGCAGACTCTGCTTTCTCTTCGGCCATCTGCTGGGCCTTAGTAGCAGCCTCGGCCTGATCCTCCAGTTTTTTCATCTTTAATTCAAGAGATTTGATCTCCTTCTTCATGGAGGATGCTTCCCTCTTCATATCAACCAATCTTTGCCGATTTTCAAAAGATTGCATTGAAAATGAATGGGCGTGCTGAATGGCTTAAGGAAAAACAGAAGTGTTAGAAAATATTCTCAGTAAGAAACAAAAGGAAAAATCGCAAGTGCAAACAGGAATACTTACTTGAACGGAGTGTTGGAGCATGAGAGCGTAGTTCTCATACTCACTGAGGTCAGCATTGCGTTCCAAATCCTTCAGAAGGAGAAGAGCAGTGCTGAGGGCGACACCAACGTTAATATCGTCGGCACTTTCACTAGCCATAATAAGCCTATCCTCCAGGGTTAGTTCAGGGGCCCGTGGAACGTCGGGCTTCTTGGACGCCGAGGTCGTCGCAGACGATGACCTCGGCCTTTTTGATTGTGTAGACCCTGAGGGTTGGGCCCCAGCAGACCTCTTGGTGGAAGCAGAGGTTGATTTTTTGCTTTCTGCCAGCTGGGAGATAGGCAAAGCATCCTCAACCTCGGCGTCAGTAGCCTTGGGCTTGGGCTGAGCCTTTTTTACTCTCTTTGGCTTTGGTGGGGACATCTCATGCGATGGTTCAGCATCAGCGTCGGTTGGAAGGTCGGCAAGAAGATCTTGAGCGACAGGCCTTGGACGAACCATCTCAGCAGTCTTTACAAGTCTTCGTCGACGTTTACGTTCTGGAATAGGCATTAAGAAGGGGGCCGAAGTGGATGGAAGATCGGCTGGGTCAGAGGTGGATCCTTGATCTGTTCGGGATGAAGACGCGGTTACAGTTGTGGCAGTAGGTGGAGAAAGACTCTTTTTCTTCTTTTTTGGGACGTTGGGTAAAGTGGATTTATATGTCGGAATGAAGTTCAGCAACAGGGGAGCCTTGCGCCTATGGATAGGAAGACCAAGAAGCTTCTTTAAATCTTGACCCGGGAAGAAGGATTGACGGAAGTTTTTTGGTGGTTGATGAAGATCTGCAGGACAAGCAAACATTAGAAACAGACAAATTTTAAAGACTTAAATAAAAACAACTAAGCATTGGCACTGGGCTCTTACCCTTGCCCTCTGTAATTGTTCGAGGAAGAGGGTAGAGGTGGACATCTTCATCTGGGCCAAATTCCCAATTTCCCGAAGCAATAAGAAAGTCATCCCCAGCCCCCTTGTTGGAGTCTGGGAGGTCGGCTACAATTTTGAACTCAGTAGACCTCGGCTTAAGGTAATAAACAAAGCCCCTATCTTTCAGGTTAAGGGGGCACATTGTATAACAGTACTGAAGGTCGGCCAGGGTGATCCTAAGATTCTCCTGCCTAGCTAAAGCTATAATACCGTTAATCACCCTGTAGGAGTTGATAGTAAGTTGCATGGGATTCAGCCTGTAGAAATGAAGAACTTCGCGAAACAAGGGATCAAGTGGAAGCCGAAGTTCATATTCAGTAAAGGCTACTATAGGAAAGGGCATCGTGTGGTCTGTGGGCATGATGGTATCACCATCCCCAGCTAGCTTAAGGTGAACACCGGCTGGGATAGAGAATTCCTGCCTAAAGTATTCGAGTTTTGTTGGGGTATTTACCCTATGCCTCCACATACCCATTAGGTCGACTTAAACAAAAGAAGAATGTGTTTCAGAAGATGGGCGTTTAAAGAAGGGTTGCAAGAACCTCGGCAAAGACCTAGGAAAGGACTGATAAGGCTTGTTTCAGTTTTCCCTAAAAAATAAAGGTTCTACACAAAAATCCCAAGCCTAAGAACTATAAAGATCAAGATCGAAGGCACAGATCTGGGACAGATACGAAAAACAAAAAACAAAGACGAAGTTTCAGATTCAAGAACAGAGGTATAGTTCTCAGAAACAAAAGAAATACAGAAGTAAAAAAATCAAGAACAGTGGCAAGAAAAATGGTGAAATAGTGCAAAAGTTCAAGATGTAGCCACGATTCAAGATACAAACAAAACCAAGGCTTTGAACAAAAGCAATAATAACAACAGGCAGACGAAAGCACATAAACAGAATTAAGAATGAAATGAAAGAATCTTACCAGAACAAATGAAGCCGGGGCAATAGTCGCCGAGCTCAGAAATCGATTGTGACGGCAGAGAAAGCTTCGCAAAAATGGAAGATTAAAGGCAGTTTCAGAAGATTAAAGCAATGGCAGATTCGAAGAAAAAAAGAGCTTTCAGAGAGAGAAAGAGCAAGAAATCAGAATAGAAAAAGTGAAGAAAGAAAGAGGCAAGGAAAAGTTTTGTCAAAAACGTGAAACGGCGGCAAAAATAGGGCATTTATTACGCCTAGAGCAACGCACGCGTCAGACGGCGCAGACGAATGACAGACAGCTTTCAAGCGCGTCACAGACACGCTCCAATGAAGACAAAATACGTGAAAGGAACGGTTAGATATGCATGACAGCTCATGCGCGTGGGAAAGTACGTTCGAAACCTTGTTCTTCGAAGAGAACACGTCGGCTGGAACTGGATTATCTCGGCTAAACAGTTTTTGAGCCATTACTCAGAAAAGGAATATCGAAATATCGGTATAGGTTCCATCACCTCAGAGTGGGGGTGTGCATAATACTGCCGAAACCGCCGAAACCGCACCGAACCGCACCGCCAAGGCAAATTCGTTATTATTTGCCAATCAAACCGCCGGTTTTTGGTAAGAAAAATGGCAAATTCTAATGACATTTTTATCAATCCGCCAGTTTCTATTTTTCTTCCAAACCGCACTGACCCGCACCGCTATTAAATCATGTTTATAAGATTCTAAAAATTTTTTTTTACTTAAGTTTACTTGTTGTTCTATACCTTAGAATATAGTATTACATTACTGCTCGAGGGGAATTCAAAATGTCAGTAATCCAAAATAAAGTTGGATTCCAATTCATTTTTCAATCTTTTTTTTTTTCTGGCCATGTTGCAAACTTGTATCAGCTCACTTTTCAATCTAAGTACTTTTCAATATATTGTAAACCCTGAATGATATTAATTTTATGAATTGTATTTGATCATTGTAGCTTCCACAGATGCTTGTAATGAACTGATAGCATAGTTGTTGATATTATCGTGTTGTTCCTACACTTGCTGCATCAGAAGAAAGCTTCGCAAGATGCTTAACATCGCGGTATCTCTTGCTTTTTTTTTACTCTTTGATTTAAGTTTTATAATTTGAATTATATTTTTTTAAACCGCTAATCCGCCCGAACCGCCGAGGCAAATCCGTCATTATTTGCCAACCGAACCGCCGGTTTTTTATAAGGAAAATGGCAAATTCTAATAACACTTTTATCAATCCGCCACTCGCCATACGGTTTCTATTTTTCTTTCAAACAGCACCGACCCGCACCGCGCACACCCCTACCTCAGAGTGCCGAGGTAATAGAACCTAGGGGGCAGTTGTGGGGATATATTTTCTGAATACCAACATGTGGCATGGTGACGCCGACGTGTCAACCGAGGTGTCACGTGTCGTGGTAGTTAGGCCGAGATGATCTCGGAGAAGCCGAGGTTATCTCCGAAGATATCGGAATCCGAGATAAGCGAATAAAGGACAAGAGTCCTAAGACGAAGAGGGGACTTAACCAAGATAAGGATAAAGCTCTTAGGGAGTTTATCTTTATCTCTTAAAGAGTCCAAAGTAAGCACTGAATTGGAGTTCATAGAAGTCATACTTC